CGCTGAAGTCAATGGGAGTCTGTCTACTGACTTTCAAAGGGCTTTGGGTCAAGCCCATATAATTAAATCTATGAATCTTCATTCATGATCCATACTAGGGGCTGGAGTTACTGTGCCAATAGTGCTCCTGTCAGTGATTTGTCTAACCCAAGCACAGTGTCCCCGGGAATGCTGGGACATGTAGGCCAGAGCATTCTGCTACAATTTACACTATACATTTGCTAACCCATCTCAAATGGCTGGTACAAAGAGGAGAACGTGGCCAAGTCTTTCCCTGCCCCCCTCCCTGCTCCTTTTACTGGTGGTTGTTTTGTGCAGTCCTTGTTCCAAGAGACTTCAAGGACTGGCATTATGACTAGCTGCTGCACAGTGTCACAAGGAAAGAAAGCTTCTAGGTCCTTCTGTCCTCTGTTCCCTTCCACCATTTTGCACCTGATTGGGGTTAATCTTAATCTATGAATGGGTTATGAAATACTTAAAGACTCATCTTGGTAGGCTTTTCCTAATTCCTTTACTGTGCTATAGCTTAGTTCCAAAACCTAAACTCGTTTCCCTCTGAGTGCATAAAAGTATTATTATCTTTAGTATTTTCACAAACTTGTCATCCCAATAATATTTCAGCAAAATGTTCGACTTTTATTAAACCCAAACTAGATTTCACTTGCAAATAAAATCTTTGCTTGGATTCCTTTCAAGCAACTTAGTTTCTTCAAAATCATTTGAGTATATAGGGAAGAACACTTACAAATTATTGCTGAAGAGGAGGAAGGTTGCATTGGGTATGTCTTCTGAGACACTGAGGAATGGAAGCAAATGGAAATGAATGAACAAATTAATGATTAAAGATGATTTTTTTTTAATTTATTTATTCTGGAGGCTCTGCCCAACCTGGCCTTCCAGGTTTGAGTAATCGTTCACTGTCAACATATGCCAAGAGATTGATTCAATTAAGATTAGTGGTATGCGGGGGGTGGAGGGGAAAGGTGTCACAGTTTACTTTTGATTAGCATTGTCTTTCCTCCTATCTCATAGTGATTATGACCCCTACAACCGAGGTAGTTTAAATATATTAGATCATGAAAGTAAATCATTTGGCCAGTATGTATAAGAGCGAAGAGGAAACAAGCTTAATGGCCATTTATATTTTAGATGCTTTTTTTATGGCTTTGTAAAGAGTCTCCTTTCCATTTGCACATCTTGAATCTAATTTACTTATAATTGGCTCTTACTCAGATCCAAACACTGAGACAGCGGTACAGTGCTGGAACAAGGGCATCTGATGCTGCATGCAATTTACTGAAGCAAAGTAGTGTAATTCCCAATCTTATTAATTTTGAAGGTGGATTAGTTACTTCACTCTGAAGTGCTAGAGGAGTATATTAGGGACATTGTTTCTACATCAAAAGTTAGCAGGTAAATAAGTTTTAAAAATTAGCTAGAAATTTACTGTACCCATATCCCTGCCCTCGCCACAAAAACCAAAAACAAAACCATGAGCTACATTGTCTGCTGGAGCAAATGGGATAAACGCTGTGGAACCCAATGAAACTGTGCTCATTTACAGCAGTAGAGAGTCTGGCTTTAAGAGGGTTTTTTTCTTCCAATTTGTTGTTGTTGTTGTTACTTGCATTGGAAAGGAGAAGGAAACTAATCTCACTGTGTTATCCATTCCACTATAGCAGTTGGTCCATTTTCCATGTCTCTTAGATAATTTGTACCACTTCAGCTATACTGGTATCATTTAAAGTGGTGTACAACATTCTGCTGTGGATACAGTTATACTGATATAAAGGTATTTTATTCTATATGGCAAGGGGAATAGGCTATACCAGTGTCAAGCACCTTTATACTGGTATAACTGTGTCCACACTAGGAGATGAACTTGTATAACTATTCAAGGTTTAAAAAAAAAAAAAACCTTAAACTGACACAATACCAGTAGAAAAACTGTGTGTAAATCAGGCCTCAGTCCCCTGAGAACTTTGCAATACAGTAGAACCTCAGAGTTACGAACACCTCAAGAATGGAAGTTGTTCGTAACTCTGAACAAAACATTATGAACTTCTTTCAAAAGTTTACAGCTGAACATTGACTTAATATGGCTTTGAAACGTTACTTATGCAGAAAAATGCTGCTTTTAACCAGAAACAAGCACAGAAACAGGTTTCAGAGTAGCAGCCGTGTTAGTCTGTATCCGCAAAAAGAACAGGAGTACTTGTGGCACCTTAGAGACTAACAAATTTATTTGAGCATAAGCTTTCGTGGGCTACGACTGTAGTCCACAAAAGCTTATGCTCAAATAAGCACAGAAACAGTTACCTTACCTTGTCAAATATTTTTTTTTAAACTTTCTCTTTATTTTTTTAGTAATTTGTTTAATACAGTGCTGTACTGTATTTGCTCCCCCCCCCCCCCTTGTCTTTGCTGCCTGACTGCATACTTCTGGTTCCAAATGAGGTATGTGGTTGACCAGTCAGTTCGTAACTCTGGTGTTCATGACTTTGAGGTTCTACTCTATTAGCTTGATTCTGATCTCACACAGATTTTATGAAGGTCTGACTTCAGTGGAATCATTCCCAATTTACATTGGTATAATGAAATCGGAATCAGGCTCTCAAGCAAGTTTAAGCCGTAAAAGGTGTAAAACACTCCTTTAGCAGTCTATGTAAATCATAAGTTCTTAGGGCCAGAACTTCAGTGACACCATGTCAATTAACACCAGCTGAGGATCTGGCTCATAAAGTCCATATGTACGTAGTCTTTTATCTGTGCCTCTGAATTCATATTCCAATCCAGTCTGAGTACTAAGGGTAATGAAATCAGCAGTTTCAATTCAGTCCCTGGTAGCATTAATTCACATTACAAAATCATTATACATAATTTGACACTGTTGTGCACAGTTAGCATAGAGAAGAACTTGTTCCATGTCTCTGGGGATATGGGTCCCTATAGATAAGATTGGCTTTATGTGATGGGAAAGTGTGGTGAGAAGTGCAGCTGGCTGGTTAATAATGAGGACTTTGATGTTCAGTGTTGCTAGTCCCTTAACGCTCATCAAGACCAATATTTGTCAGAGTAAAAGAAAAAAATAGTAAAACTGTTTTTTCTAAGAGAGCAGCTGACTAATATTTGCGTGGTGAAAGTTTAAAGATAAATTCATATATTTCAAAATAGATACTCTATTTCAACATAAAAAAATCCACCCTTTTCCATTGGTTTTCTAGAACACCATTGTAGTAGTTTGGAACTGTTGTTATTTTATTTTTTTAAACCAGGTTTCAAGTATAAACACTAATCTGGCAAAGTAGCTACTTTCCTAAAGCCCCAATCCCATTGAAGTCAATGGGACTACTCACATGTGTAGAGTTAAGCAAATGTGTAAGTGCCTACAGGATTGGTGCCTAAATATGTATTTTGGGACAAATTTCAGATATGGACAAAATCGAGAGCAAGCTGTAATTCACAACCTTGCGAGGTGACCGCTAATCAGTTTTTTATGGCCCACTTTACCACACCTTGCAATAATTATATCTTTAATTTTACTAGTAAGGCTACGTTTTAGTCACAGGCATTTTTAGTAAAAGTCATGGACAGGTCACGGGCAGTAAACAAAAATTCACAGCCCTTGACCTGTTCATAACTTTTACTAAAAATACCAATGAATAAAACTTGGGGGGGAGGGAGGGCTCCCTGGGGGCCCCACGTGTGCTGGGGGAGGGCGGCCCGGCTGCTTGGGGGGATGGGCGGGATGCGCAGCCTGGAACCCACGCTGGAGCTGGGGGAGGGTGTTTGGGGGGCTGGCAGGCTCCCTACCTGACTCCACGCCTCCCCCCAGCAGCAGCAGAGTTTGGGTGTGGGAGGGGACAGGGGGCTGGGGCAAGGGATGGGGTGAGGTGGGCTCTGGGCAGTGCTTACTTGGGGGGCTCCCCAGAAGCATCGACATCCCCTTCGCTCAGCTGCTAGGCAGAGGCATGGCCAGCCAGCCACTGCCCCCACAGCTCCCATTGGCTACGGTTCCCAGTCAATGGGAGCCGTGAAGCCAACGCTCTGGGGAGAGGCAGCGTTCAGAGCTGCCCTGAGCCAGGCACACCGGCTGCTGCAGAAGTCACAGAAAGTCACTGAATCCGTAACCTCCATGAGAAACTTGCAGCCTTCATTACTAGTTCTATTTGACAAAATATGTGGCTGATCCTCCGTATATGAAGGCTAAGGAGCAAGTCTGTCACAGAAAACAAGAGTGGTGATTACAATCTCAGTCCTAAAGAACAATGAACATATTCCTAAGCAACTAGTTGTATCAGCAGTTTCAGTTACAAGTTATGCTCTTTTCACTCTTGAAAAGTCACTATCCTCTAGTGTCAGATTGGGGCTGACTAGACAACTGGTTAGGAAGCCGCCTCCTGCAGTTGCCAGGGACTACAAGATAGACAGAGATCGCTTAGAATTGGAATTAAAAAAAAAATAACAATAATGAAGCCAGCTGCTACAGAGCAAGGATTGGACTCCGCTTTTATCAAAGTCAGTGGAAAGATTTCCACTGACTTGAATGAGAGTTGTCTTTTACTATATGTTTTGGGGCAATGTGATAGATATTATACAGTCTTGGTTATGGCCTACTGTAGGCACCACTGTCATATGAATAATAAATAATAGGCTTGTAAGGCCTGTTGTCAGACCACTTTAATAGCACAAAAGACCTTGTGTTGGGAAAGTATGGGAAGCCTAGAACATTAATGTCACGCAGTATCCCCAACCTCAAACATTCAAAAATCATGTGTCAGGCCCCCCAAAATCATGAGATTGGCATAAAAATCATAGGTTTTTTAATAGTAAACTTTAGGTACTTTTCATTTGCTGTCTGGCTTCTGAGTCTTTACTTGGTTCACATGTTCAAGCTTTTCTTTGCATCCATGAGGGATAGAAACTTTTTTAAAACTAAAAGCTGAGGTTCTCATGTAGTCTTTCAATTCCAACAGCTGGGGCTTTCAGAAAAACTACAAATAAAATTGAGACGTGCCATAAAATCACTGATACATGTTTTAGGAAAGTATTAACAGATTCCCTTGCAGTAAGTTCAGGGTAAAGATTTTTCAAAACAAAACTAGGAATATTTGTTGAATAGATGATCATTCCAGAATGTGACTATGTAGTTTCTAACCTTTCCTGCTCTAAATTGCTCCTCCAGCAGCTGTAGAAAGTGTCTTGGAGATATCTGGCTTCATTCACCATTCACTTTTAAATAGCGTAACAGTTTTATGACTCTTCCCTTAATGATCACCTATTGTGTTGTGGATTGCCAATCAAGGAACACTTAATGACAAAACAGAATAATTTAACCCCTATTCAAATAACAATGCCCAGAATTGCCAGTGTTAGTCCTCCTGACACAACGGAGTCACAGAGAAAGTTTTTTAGCTGAATGAGGTAAATAACATTAACAAGCTATCATCCTATATCTCTTAGTTTCCATTTACAATAGGCTGACCTTTGAACTTTGAACTTTTTCTTTGACTGATCACAGCCATTATAACATTTGTGTTAGTCATTTAAAACTGCAGGTGTAGCCACTTTACAATGCCTAATAAAGTGTGTGGATGAATGTGTAGGCTTCACTGAAGAAGAGTCTTGAGATTGCTGGGAAACAACACAAGAATTAGCAAAAGCATTTCAAAAGGATTAATGTACCATAATTCTCTTGCTAGAGTGACAAGGCTAAAAAAGTGTTGTACTCTGCCTCTCGTTTGTCCATTGAAGAGAACTTCTGCCAGAAGCACAGTGATCATTAGAGCTGGTCAAATCCCATCAATTCTCTGAGTGTTCACTCAGATTTGAAAATGAATTTGCATCATCCATGCTCGCACCCTTTCAAAAAAGGAACACTCAATTGTTTGCAGTGAGTGTGCCAGGAATTGACTTTCAATGAGGCTTAGCTTTCTAAGCACCGAAGTCACTTTTGAAAGTGGGACTTGGGCTGCTAAGTCATTTAGCATGTTAGAAAATTTGCCCCTTTAAATTTTTGTGCTTAAATATTCCCCGCAAAAGTGAGAGAACATCGCATCCAACCAGAACAGTAACGCTACCATATGATTTGTGACCAGTCACAAATTGTGATTCACAACTAACCAACACAGCTCCTATTTTGAATACTTGCAGTGAACTTGTTTAAAACAATCTATTAAAGGGGGAATTGTTTGTGAATAATTTCAAATAAAAATGCATTTGAGGAAACTGATTTGCTTGTGGACAGTCAATGAGCCAAAAAGGAAGCAAACGTCTTTGAGCAAGTTATTTGCCAAAAATTATTTGTTCAGCTTTAATTATCAGTACTGCTTGTACAGTAAATCTATTTCAGGTGCAGTCCAATTCCTATTAAAGTGAATTAAAAAACAACCTGAATAATGTATTCTGTTCCATGCATATAACACAATCTCAGGACAGCAAGATAATCCTCTAACATATGTTTCATGCAACTTTTTTTTTTAATGAAACCCATTAATACCAACATGCTGTGAAAGACATATAAGCTAGAGGTGGGTGAATAATGCAAAAAAGTGTCATGAATATTGATTTGAATTTTATACGAATTCACTTTGGTCATGTTTTCACACCTTGTATGTTTACTTTCTGCAAACATTCAAATGATTGATTTTTACTGTTAGAAGTGAATTCCAAATGCAAATGCATGGTAATACACAATATTAATATAATAACTATATTCATAACAATTATTTTTAATTTCTACATGCAAGTCTTCCTGTCTGAAGTGGTATGGGCTGTGTCAGTAATGGAACAGAAACAATATCTTGGGACTTTTCTGACCAATCACAAAAAAGCAACACAGCAACACAGCTCAAGTTTCAAATATTTATGATCAATCCATTGAGTAAAAATCTGGGAAACATTTATCAAGTAACAAATTCATAGAAACTGAAATCTGCTTGTGGATACTGTGCAATCATTAGTGGTTAAATTAATCGAATAAATTATTCATTGTGAATCATTCAGTCAGCTCTAATTTAAACAATTGAAATATTAGATTTTCTTAGTTTGCACTTGGAAGATAATATCTAATGCTTTAGGTTATTAATATGTAATTATAGCTAATCTAGTGTAAAGAAAATAATAAAAAATTGATCAAATGCTATTTTTAAATACACTCTTGCCATCTTTATTCAGTTCATGGTGGATTTGGAACTTTTAAATCTTTGTGGTTTTAAAAAGAAATGCATGTCAGTTAGGATTATTTCCATTTACAACCAATAGAAGTCTGGCTATAAACACAGCGTCGCCATTTGAACATCATACATTAAATTAATTAATTTATGGAATCTTTCCCATTGTGTAAATCTTTCATGATGAAAATTCAAAGCATTCAAAAAAGCATTCAAAAAATTTTTTTAAGTGACACTGCACATGCTCATCTGGCCATGCGGAATGAGTTGGGGTTTCTAGTACACACAAGTCAGAGCCCCCCATCACAATTAGTGCAGTTTTGTGCCCCTTCTGACAATCAGCAGAAATGCTAAGGATTGAATGAACACTGAAAAATAATTATCTGTATTCTTAGAGCGATCTGAAAAGTTTGTCACTGCCTCCGCTATACCTATTGCCTGGGGAAAATAAAGGCTTTCAGCCTCTAGGGCTGTCATGCCAGAATCTTACCTCATCCACTTCCCCTCTTCCACAGCGATGGCTAAAGTTGTTCCTGCAGGAGGGCACGGATGGTAGTGTTCCCACTTTCAAGTGAGGCCAAATAGGATAATACCTTTCACCAGCATTAAAATATGCTAGAGACAGAGAACTTGACCACAGTGCCACTGCAAAACAGGCTACATCAATGCCAACAATTCTGTAAAGTCTCAGACCTAAATTTACTGATGTCAGATGAGGAAAATCCGAACAGAATTTTCTTCAGATTTCTGTTCATCCTAGAGTCCTATTCCATTCAACACGCACACAAAAAAGCATCCAAAAGTCTAAAGGAAACAATTACAGATCTACAGTATAGGATGATGGACACTTCAAAAATAGGAAAATTACCTACAATTGCTCCTTCCCCCCCCCACCCCCCGAGTTTTGCAGTGTCCCTTTCAATAGCTAGTGAGCAGCAGCAGGAGGCAGAGGAAGGGAAAAAATACTATCCTGTGGGTCCCTTTGGTTGCAAAATCTTGGACTAAGTCTATCAGTTCGCCCAACACATATATTACAAGGAAAGTGTTCTCTTAATATAATAGGTATATCTCCATATATTATTATATCTCATAGAACTGGAAGGGACCCTGAAAGGTCATAGAGTCCAGCCCCCTGCCTTCACTAGCAGGCCCAAGTACTGATTTTGCCCCAGATCCCTAAGTGGCCCCCTCAAGGACTGAGCTCACAACCCTGGGTTTAGTAGGCCAATGCTCAAACCACTGAGCTATCCCTTAAGATAAAGGAAATATAAGAGGAGAAAATAACATCAAATATAGTTTAATAAAAAACTACTTAAATTCTCCTACCCACTTTTAGAAGCCCAGAAGTCGCCGACTTCCAAGGTAGAACTCTCCACTCGCTATTTTCCTAGAGTCCCAATGTTATATCTCTGCTAAAATATCAGTAGTTGAAAATTGCAACACTGAAAGTTAAAGCTCCAAAATTGCCCAGTTCATACCTCAGCACTCTCCTACAATGCAAAGAAATGCATCTTCGCATAAGGTTTTCAACCTTCGCTTTACTTTGGGCATTTGCGGTTGATGTCTGTTACCAGTTCACAACTCCCATATTTTAGAGAACATCTTGGTTAAATATGCAGACATGTTTTAATTACATGGGCTGGGAAACTTGTTTATCTCCTTGCCTCGGTTGCAAGCATTTGTTATCTTTGGTGTGAAATTTAGGCTGACAACAATTGATGCTTCCTATCCAGCAACTCTGCAGCGCTCTTACAGGGAAGCTGTGTAATTCCTAGCATGCAGCTAAGTAGGCCCTGGGCCTTACTGTCACTCATTATGTGAGTGGTAGAGGAGTGGCAGCAGCAGCTGACAAACTCGCTGGTGCCTCCAGAGAGGCTCCCATGATAAAGCATCCTGCTTTGTACTGTAATCAGCTTGCTATACATGCATTACTTCCTAATGAGAGCCGTGTTTAAACAAGTGTATAGAACACATCTGTCCGGACCCTGGGATTTGAATCTCTGTGACCAATTCAGCATCTGAAAGTTAAATTAATGGTAAAGAGTTTAATTGTGAGTAAACAATACCACATTAAGGAGCAGTAAACACAGCAGTGGGGACTAAAAGACTGAGTATTCAATCACAGATGTGGCTGCTTCGGTGCTTTCATTAATGATCTTCCCCGTCTGTACCTTACAACTGTGTCTTTGGCACTGTTCTTCATTTAAATGGACTCTTTCCTTTTCCAACTCTTGCTTCTGCTTCAACATCCTTGCAGATATATTCTGTGTGTGTGAGATAGAAGAGAGAGAGCAATATTCTGTAACTACACTTTACAGATCTATCACAAAGGCACTTTGATTTGGCTTATAATGGTATTACAGGCAAATGCTGTTTGGAATTAAATAGTGCCTGAAACTGATCATTTCAAAACAGCCACTGCACATACGTACACAGTAATAGAGATGGATGTGCCACCGTGAGGAACTTGTACAGGCAGCTTCAACAGCTTGTCTAATATTCAATGACCATATTACCAGAAATAACTGTTTCTTTGAACATTTTCACTACCCATGTGTTTATATGCGCATGTGTACCTACGCAGCGAGATGGGCAGCCTGGTTTTGACAAAGATTGAAACTGAAACCTAGGCCATCCTCACTAGTAATCCTGGCTCTGTTGATCACTTATGTGACCTTGAGCAAGTCACGTAACCTCTCTGGACTGAATCCATCCCTTTTGAAGTAGATTGAAGTTAATAAATTACATCAATGGCTAATTTGGCCCTTTGTCCGTTTTTCCATTTGTAAAATGGGAACAGTAATTCTTGTTTACATCAAAGGAGGTTGTAAGGATTAATTGTCTGCAAAGCACTTTGAAATCACAAAACACTGCATAACTGCTACATACTAGTACACTGATGGAGAACGTGTGGGGGGGGGTTTCATCTTGTTTCTATGGTTTTACCTTTTAAGTCCATTCTCATAGTCTATTGATTTTTGTTTCCAGCTGGTATATGAATGACAGCCTATATTAAGATAATGCTGAAGTGTCACCTAAGTCAGCATCACTATGCAGTGCTAAGTGAGTGGAGCTCTGCTGTTTGGTGATGCATGTTTATCTCTCCATGGAATGCCTTAGGAAAATGCAACCTCTTCTGAAGAAAGAGTGGGTGGGCTTCTAAAATGCTGCACTGCATGATGTCCAGTAGGAGGATCTCCTTTCAGACAGCAAGATGGATGAGCTGTCATCAATTTCCCTCATATTCTGCCATGAGGGACTCCAATAAGATGACCAAAGGACAGTTGTGGTTTGTTTAACACAAGATAAAGATATACAAAAGGTGATTTTCAGCAAAGAAAAGTGTCAATGTGGCAAACTATTTGAGACCTTATCTGGAAGCACTAATCAATTAGTGTAACTTACAGTCATGAATAGCATCTAGCTACTGAAAGAGTAACAACCACATTAAAACAGTCAAATTTCTCATATTATTTTAACTTTTAGTTAATTTACCATATTACTTGTACCAACAGCTAATCCAAGTGTGACCACTTCTGAGCAATATGTCTTAAACACATTTTTGAAGCCAATGTACATGTCTACTATTTTATTCAGTGTGTGACTCGTAACAAGCTGAAGCAGAAGGGCCAAATGCGCTTCTGGCATAAGCTGGCATCACTCAGTTTAAATCAGTGGCAATGCACCCACTTATACCAGCAATGAATTGGCTTCCCGGTCTTTACTTGGGGTGCTTTGTACTTAGAAATTTCTTTTTAGTTTATGAATTATTACATATGAAAGAGGCTAGCTTAACAACCCAGGAGAATGAAATGGTTTAGCTGTAGGACAAATGCAGCATGAGCAGCCATATTAAACAGTTCCCTATATTGTATTATAACCAGAAGCTAAAGAACCCCCCCCCCAACCCTTATAAGTGGCATCCATGATGGGTAAGGCCTAAATGAGCAGGAAAACTAAACTCTGCCCTTGCACTTAGGTTTTGTGTATATCAGACAAATTGGCAAAAAAAAATCCCACCAGTGCCACTCCCAGTTCAACAGTCCCAATGGCTGCATTAGGCAATCTCTCACCAAAGCTGACGCTCGTTTGCTTCTCCGGTGGTAGCCCTGATCTAGGCAAGATTCCAATGGTTTCTGGTGTTACCACCATCCTTGTCTACAGAAGCACGCTCATCAGTGTCACTGTTGGAAACATTGTTGCTAATATCCCCTACGTAGACAAAGCCTAGGCATGGAGACATAGTTTACTACCCTGCACATTCAGTCCTCAGCCTCTATGATGGGACTGCCATCACTTCCCTTTGGGTTTTGTGATCTAGATACTTGGCCACGAGGATGTGGACCGTCACCTCATTTAACCTGGCCACTGAACAAACAGCCAGCAAAAGGTAATGACTTATAATTTAGGTTTAACTTGATCCAGTAAATGATGAAGCCAAACGTACCATACCCCATACCTTGTCCCAGCCAGTCTCCTATATGTTGATACAGGTGTTAAAAGGTGAATCTCCAAAATTAAAACTATAGTATTACAGAGCTGAGGGATGCAGCCAGGAGAAAAAGAATGAATCAGGTTTCCTCTTGAAGCCAAAAACTTGAATTAACAATATGAAAACAGAGACTTGCTTACAGACACTCGAGCTTTGCCTTTATGTTCTCCAGTTTATGTAGTCTGCATCTTATTATATCATTAGCTCTTTACTTTTTAATGAATGTAATCCCACAGCTCCCACAGTAAGCACACTACACAATCTGTCCCCAGAAATTATCTCCCTCTGTCCTTTTATAAAAACCCTCTGACAAACAAACAACTGAGCCATACTTGACACATGTATCCATGTAACTAACACAATTTGCCAAAGGGCAAAAAAACTCCAAGCTCTATTTATTTGCTTTCTTGCTGAGTAATCTCAACTCTGATGACTAAAGTC